GAACAGCCACCGAGCCTGCAGCTGCTGACACAGCTGCAGGGAGAGAGGTGCAAGTGCTGTGGGCACCCGGCCCCTTATGCTGGTACCCAGAAGGTGCCCCCACAGTCCCCAGGGCTGCAGTACCTGCAGAGCTCATCCTGTGGGACAGTAGCAGCAAATCAACCTGCAACAACGCAATGGGAACACAGGCTCAGGGTCTTCAGTGAGCCCAGGTCGTTATAAAGGGCTTGATCGCACCTGAAATGCTGAGCATGTGCTTTATGGTCCTCGTACCGCCTCGAGGAGCTCCACAGAGCAATACCCAGCCCCGTACATCTGTTCAGCCGCTTCTGCACTTCAGCTCCTCTCACACTGCCTCTTCCCCAGCACTCTGCTGCGCACATCCTGGGCTGTGCCCCTCGCACACTGTCCTGCAGGGCCGGGGGTCCAGAGGCTCCAACTTCTCCAAAGTCTCCTTCCTTCAGGGCCTGGGACCTGCAATGGTCACAGCGACCCTCACCAGAGGTACGGCCTGCAGCTGGAAGCCAGTGCTTAGAGGAAGAGGGGTTTGATGAGTGTCTGACCTCCAGCTCCTGTCCCCAGCTGCATCTTTGTGCTTCCTCACTGGTGGTGGCACTGCCACAAACAAATCCCTTTTCTTTAACAGGACGCTAAAGGCGATGTCAGTGCTCACGTCTCAGACCCCTTTGTGGTCCTCAGACCCCCCTTTAACATGCAGGAGCTCACATGCTGGGAGCTGGTCTCTAATGCCGGGCAACTGAGGAGCCATGTGAGCCTGAGGCTGGTGCCAGAGCCCAGCACAGGGCAGCAGGAGGCACCCGCCGTCCCCTAAAGGCATCGCCTGTTGCTTCAGGTTTTGTCTGTTCCCATAGGGTGACAGGAACAGCGGTACCTTGCCGCATGAGAAAGTAGCAGCAGACGCTGAGATGCTTCTGCTTTAGCTCCTGGCTTTGGCAGCAGATCTCAGAATGAGCAAGGCCTGCTCTCCACAGCCTGTTCTAGATGGATATTGCTGCACAAACCCGGCACGCTTTTGGGTGTTTAGCACATCACTGATTACAGACAATTCGTGTGGAAGCCAGCACCACAGGCGACAAAAAAAAGTTGTTCTTCATCCGTGGCTCTGGAAGCAGCATCCCTGCAGGCCTGGCAGGGCGATACTGGGGTTCAGGCTGGAGAGGGACACGGGTGCTCTGCAGCTGGGCATGGGAAGGGGAAGGACGAGGGGAGAGTCAAAAGCAGCTCGGGCGCAGCAAGCTGCTGCCTGAGCTCTGCCTGCACCCACCCGAGGGGACGCCTGGGCAGGGGCACACAGGAGGGTGATGTGGTCTTTACCCTTGTGCCTTGTCCTGCAGAGTCCTCCTCGTGGGCGCCAACAGCCCCCGGGGCCCCGCAGCGGCCTCGCTGCACACCCTGGGGATGGGAAGGCCCCCGGGGTGCCTGTGGCCGTGCTCTCGTGGCCCGCACCCGGCTCTTGGTGCTTGCAGAGCAGGTGCTGGGTCCCGTCAGCCCGCAGGGGCTACAGCAGGGCCGCCTTTGCCGAGGCAGAGCTCGGGTGCGGAGCGCTCTAAGGGCCGCCCTGCCCTGCCCTGCCCTTCCCTGTGAGCTCGGGAGGGCTGCACCCGTCCTGGCTGCAGGAGCAGAGCTCCATCCATGCAGGCAGGCTGGGGGGGCTGAGGGCTGCCCTCATCAGCCCCTTCCCCATCAGCACAAGTGTAGTCCCCTTGTCCCTCCCCTGCGCGGAGGAGCTCAAGTGAATGGAGGCTGACTGGTGGTAAAACCTCGGTGCAGGGAAACAGTTAAACCCTCTCACAGAGCGCAGTTAAAGGTGGCTGCAGCCCGGGAGGATGAACGTGCTTCGTGGTTTCAATTCACATTTCAAAGCACATCTTTATGGGGCTGGTAACCTTAATCATCGTATTAAAAAAGCCAGAACTTCGTTTTAGTTCAAAATCTATGCACTGGTCCATGAATGCCCGAGACGAGATGAGATGGGGAAGGTACAGGGGAAGGAACCACAGCTCAAACGGAAGAGAGCTGAGGATGACGGGCAGATGGGGCTCAATTTCTTTCTGCCAGCTCTGATAAACTCAGGCTGCAGTGAAGCCGACAGGGAATGTCCTGGTACCGGGGACAAACCCTGCACGATGCAGACATCTGGTCTCCCCGAGCAGCAGCACCAGCCTCAGGTAGGAGGAGAAGGCTGGGACGTAGCACAGGGCTGAGGCTAAAGCCGGTAAAACAGCCGGTGTTCCCACACAGCTTCCTTCTCTCTTGCATTCTTATTTTATACACCAACAGGCAGCTGCTGCCAGGTTTTTCTATTAAATATGACTTTTGTTGGGCAAATTACATTAGGATGGATGCCACAGGTATCCATTAAGGTTTATTTATCGTGATACTGTTTGGATCTCACACTTATAAATAACTTATGTTATGGCTTTTGTTTGTAGAAATGTAACTTACATATTTTATTATGCTTTCTGTAAACCTCAAGAAGAATATTGTCAAAGAAGCGCCCTTTAACAGCAGCCTAAACTACGGGACATAAAATCTACACTAACATTATTTTTTAATACGGCAAGGAAGCGTGTTATCCCTCTGCAGTTTGAAAGGTTTGCTGTCATCATGAACTCGCGCTACAATAAAACATTAACAAGTCTAAGGATTGTTCTGTAAGGTGTGCATATACCGGGGCTGACTTGGTTCAAAGCCTCCTTATGCAGGCAGGGCAGGGTAATAAAACTGAGCAGGCTGCCTTTGCCTGCTCCAGTGCAGGGGTGAAGGCTGCTCTGGGGGGGGTTTGCTCTTTCCTGCAGGTGGGCAGACACTTACCTGGGATTCAGCAGCTGGTGCTTTTCACTGTGATGATATAAAACACATTTTGGGGAGAATCAGAGCTGGTTTAGCGTCACAATGCCAGACTGGTTTGGGTTGAAGGGACCTTGAAGCTCATCCAGTTCCAACCCCTGCCATGGGCAGGGACACCTTCCAATAGACTGTATTGTTCAAGGCTCCCATCAGATTCCCGCGATGACAGCACTCCAGGTCTGAGAGGTGTCTCCTTCCTGACATTCCCATTCCCTTGTTTCCACCTTTTTCTTTTTTTTCTTGAAAGCAGAAAGAAAATTCCATCCCCTCTAAAGGCACTTCTGTCCTTATAAAATGCACACGAGGCATTACACGTGCTCTGTAAACACTAGGCAATTCTGGGCTGTACCCACTTCGACAGCGCCCTTTTCTAAAGCTGACAGTAAAGACTCTCAACAAAGAATCTGGAGCCATAAACCACACTATTTGCTATACTATCCATTTCCTAACCTAAAAGCAAGTGTATTTGTACCACCAGCTACTCCAAGCAAGTTCCTGTTGTCAATCGTTAACCAAGGTTGAAATGCTGTTCAAACACGTGTCTTGAGCTTGACCAGTTTAGAAGATGCTCTTTAGGATCTCACTTGTAAGTTGTAACAAGGGATGTGTTAAAGGGGAATTTTCAGAAACGTACTTGAGTGCTCCGGGGAGTCTGCAGCCATGTATTAAACCAAGTTATTAACTATGAAAGCAAGTTATTAAGTATTAAAGTCTCAGTGCCAAGTTATGGGGACACAGGTTCCTCCTTTACAGTATGCCAAACTTCAGCTCAGATTTCAACAGGAAACGGGCTGGTGTGCGAGCACACACTCACGGTGTGCACCCACTACTTATTTCCATTGATGGGCAAAGAAAGTGGAGTCACAGAACCCATCAGCTTTCATCTGAGCCTGCGACACCAACACGCAGAGCTGCGGGGCTACGTGAGGGCTTCTCCATCAGAACTGCCATTAGGGATGCAGCATCATGGAGGCACCATGGACGAGGGGCATGGAGAAATCCTTCCCCAAGTCCCAGCTCACCCTGAGACCTCCACACACGTTGCTGAGATGGGGTCTGCAGCTTTTAAAATCCCATTTGGCAGCACAGATCCCGGTTTCCTTTAAGGCTCAAAATGGAAAGTTAATGACCACACTAATCCGTACGTGCTCCATGTGCTGATAAGGATCACCCACTGCCTGCAGTTTCCAAAGCTCGGCACACAGCACCAGGCTGCATGTAGGGACACCCCAAATCTGCAGCTTTTGAGTAACCTCAATTGACTATTTTCTGTTGGCAATCAGAGCCTCTGGCTGCAGAGTAAATACTTTCTCCAGCTGAGCTTAAAAGTACACAGGAAACTGCCCAACAGTATTATTTCTTTTCAGATTTAGGTCCTCCAACTTCAAAATGTGCAGGGAAAGAACAGTTGCAAAGAAAAAAATGGGAAGGCATCAGTAAGAAATACTGGTATGAACCTTTCCTCCCTGCTGACCACCATTAAAAATCCCCATTCTTATCTAAACAGTGGGGAAATATTACTAAATGCACAAGGGTAAGCATGAAAAACACATTAAATCAGTTAGTTACATAAGAAAAAATAGTAATAAAACCCCAAGCCAAATCAAACCCAATCCCAAGCGTCTGTAATGGCACCAAACAGCTTTGCTACTACCTGAACTTCCTGCTTAAATAGTTCAGGTTTTTGGTAGATCTCGCTTCAATTCACTTGGGTGTTTCTGCAGCTCACGTGGTGCCTCCTGCCCACCATGGACCACGCTGATGGTTCCCACAGCCCAGGATCGTGAGTTCCAGTGTGAGCAATCTTGTTCTGGTAGATGCTGCACTTACCGTCCCCTGAGAGGTGGAGACAAAGTTGCTGAAGTTGCTGTTTCAGACGCACAAATTCATCTTCATTGCGCCACATGCTGCTTATACATGGGCTGTAAGCCTCTGTAACTATTTGCTTGCTTTTTTTGTACTGGTGGATAGGTTTTGTTCTTTTTAAACAGTGTTTTAACAACTTTATTTTCTTCTGTGCTTACATTCTCAGTTTTCTTGCTACACATTAAGCTTTAAATGCTCATTTTTAGCCTTCTACATTGTTGTCCACATTGTCATTAACTGTGCTGAAAAGAAATATATAACACTTTGTAAAAAAATAGTGGATTTTATTATTTCAGGAAGCTGTCATATAAAATTCACATTGGCTTTCATCTCATGTTCAAACAGATACGACCTCAGGGTGAGCTGGGGAGTTCTTAACTGATGAGATATTATTTACTATTATGTGTAGAGCTGAGAATCACTAACTGATACAAGTTTAGAAGGAATGCATATTTATTTTGTTCTTTGGTTAAGTACTGTTTCTACACTGTTCCATAAAGATAAAATAACAGGATAATAAATTTTGATAAGAAAGGCTGAAAACATCCTTCAAACTCAGATTTTCCATCATTTTCACTGTTATAAAGCCTTACATTTAGGCCAGAGATACAAAAAGGCAGAAGATATCTTAAAAAAATAGTTTTCACAAGGGTCAAAAATCTATCTTAACAATGTAAGTGGGTCCCCAAACGTTCAGGGCTGGTTTGTTAGTCAGTGCTCTGGTCCCACAGTCACTGTTAACTCATCATATCTAAAGTAACGGGATCCGAGGCCCCTTCATTGCGCAGAGCTTCAGCCACGTCTCTGCGAAAGATTGACATATTCTGAGTGAACCTGGGAAGAGGAAAAGCCAAATGTTTGATTAAAGGAGACCGGATACTGTGAGAGATTTATTTCAAAAACCTAAGAAGAAAAACAATAATGGAAATTTGAAATGAGAAGGAAAACAGAGGAAAACTCACGAACAGAATCACCGGGTGCCCTCAAAACCAGTCCTATCAAATACAAATGAGCACGTAAACACGTATGGGCAGTATCAGAAACTCAGCCTACCACATGTGAAGATGTGGAACATTTTAAAAGTCAGCTGGGAAATCAATGCAACAAGAAACCTTTCCATCTCCCGTGACTTGGAACATGTCCCTTCTCTCAAAGCTCCAGCAATGGTCTCTTTGGGATACGTCCAGATGGCCGTCAAGGCCTGGCTTTCTCCACCTACCTTCCTCCCTCGTGAGTGGTGTCAGAGTTCAACCTGTGTCTCAGTGAAACGCGGTACCATCACCCATCTGGCACAGAAAGCAAGCGGCAAGGTGCAGGACGTGAAGTCTGTCAGGTGGCCATCACATCCAGGACTGAGTGTCAGCTCTGACTCAGCTTGTGTGACAGCCCAAATCTGATCTACTCCCTTGGCCTATCCGTACCCCAAACAAAGAGTTTAACTGCCATTCATCACATCTCATGTATGCATTTGAAGAACCCAAACCAACCCAAACCCACACCAAAACAAGATTCGCAATGCCAGACATGTATCACACCCTGCATTTAGGGCTTTTCAAATGTTCTTTTGTTTGTTGCCTCAGTGCTATTTGCTTTAATTGCGTCAGACTTTGCTAGCTTCCCTAGAAAAGCTCCTTAGGGCTCCTTCCTGCAGAGGACTCTTTGGACAGGTGCTAGGAAAACTGATGGGATCTCAGCAAAGGTCTCTGTGCAGGACCAGGGTAATAACCCTTCCTGCCTGCCTCCACTGCACTGCAGTGGATGGGTACATCTGGCACTGTGGTAAACTGGGGCATGCTGTGGAAATACAGGATGCCATCAGGAGTTTATTCTTTATTCTATTCATAATTTTTTTATGTTTGTGCTTATTTCCTTACTAATGGAAATTGATTTCTGCTCAATTTTAAACAATCACAGTTAAAAGAAGCCTCCTGTTCCACAGGATAGATCTGAGCAGGATTACAAATCAACAGCTGAAAACAGAAAAGCCATCATATTAACTCATGCTGCTTGCTGGGGAAGTGATGGCTTAAGAGTCTTCCCAAGTTAGACAGGCGGATGCTACTGAGACAGACGAGCTGCTTGTTCGACTGAATCATGCCTATCCCCCAACACCTGCACCCATTCCTCCCTGCCTGCGCTCCCACAAAAGCTCTCCGAGAGCTTCCGCACCACTGCCTATGTGAGAGGACTCCACAGTGCTTCGACGTGAAAATCCCCTTTCAATCCATGGATATTTGAATCTAGCATTTGCCAAATCTAATATGTGCTGGCAGCCCAAGAGATGGAAGCCTCTGTCCATGCCATGAACAGGGAGAGCACAGGGAGCTGGATTCAGCCTGTTCAGCCTGGAGAAGGCTCTGGGGAGACCTTAGAGCAGCTCCAGTGCCTAAAGGGCCTGACAAGAAATCTGGAGAGGGCCTTTGGACAAGGGCCTGTAGGGACAGGCCAAGGGGAATGGCTTTAACCTGCCAGAGGGGAGACTGAGATGAGCTCTTAGGCAGAAGCTCTTCCCTGTCCTTCACACCTGCAGTTCCCAGAATAGGGCAGCTCAGAGAAAATTCACATCATTTCTGTTTTTCTCAGAAAACAGTGTTATCTTAAGGACTCCTTGCCTTCAAGAAATATAAATAGTTATGGAACTAAGAAACTAGTTACAAGAATGAGTTTTACTCAGTTTTTAATTTTTAAATCCTGAAGCACTGTCAAGTCAAATGAATCCCCTCGGCATTTACAGCTCTAAGGTCAGACTACATCCTACAGCCTGCCACGGGCAGCTCAGTTTTCCTTTGTTTTAACAGGCATTCTCCTCCTTCCCGGTGGCTCTCTGCCATTTCCCCAGGTTTTCTGCTGATCCAGAACACAAGTTACACACAAAGTCTGTCTGATTCATTAGTGCCATAGATATGATCTGTGTTTCTCTGGCTTTGCTTCCAAATTCCCCTGTCTCTGGCACCATCCACACTCAGGCCATAAGGAACTTGCACCCTTAGTACCAGAATTGAGTAAGAAAATGAAATAAAAATGTGGAGACCACAATTAATGCAAAACTATTTGAGAATTAAACAAGTTCAACACAATTTGCACACCAACAAATGGAAGAAGTCAGAGAAATAAAACCACTAAATGGTTTTAGCCATAACTTCTCTCCAAGCCCCTTTCCAGGTTCTTTCACGCTTCCCAGGAAGCTCCACAACCTGGATTTTGTGTCTCTATACTTTCAAGGTTTGCTTTGGTTGAATAATGCACATGAAGAGAAAACACAGCTAGCTGGGAATAAAATGTTAGTGTGAACATTAAATGCAGAAAACCTTGCCCCTGCCTTCATGAAGTTTTCTATTCTGTTTTTCAAATGAGGGCAAGATTGGGTGGATTTGTAATTCATGTTGAAAAAGTATTACAGAATTCCTTGCCTCATTTATGTACATGAGTAAGTGGCCCCACTGGATCCTTTCTCATCTTGCCACTCCACAGGCAGTTGCCTGACCCTAACAGCAGCAAGAAAAAACCATGTCAGAGCAGCAGCACCGACAGAGGCTGAAGCAAGTGTTTTATCAGAGGGGTTTAAGGTTGGAAAAAGGAAGCTCTGAGGCTCACCTGCTGAAATGAGGCAGCTTGTTCCCAAGTGAAAAAGTAGCAGCTGCAGCCTGGCAAACTCTGACTTTTGGATTACATTAGGAAATACATTTTTGACCAAGAAAATTCATAATTATCAAACGTTCAGGCTCTAACTATGAAGTCTAGGGATGAATTCTCTGATAGGGTATTATGCCTCTTTCAAAAGCAACTGCACTTTATGGCTACCTGGAATACTTCCTATATTTTTTCCCAGTTAAATTTTCCATTTGTCTTTTATTTTTTCCAATTTACTTACCTGTCTCTGTTCTTTACCAAAAGGTTTTGCTCAACTCCTTCCATTAGATTCCTGAAGCACTGGTCAAGGACTTCCCGTTTGCTGTCAGGCTGGCTGGTTACCAAGGTTGCTCTCAGCTCACTGAAGTACTGCGATAGCAAAGCAGAGACTATTAAAAATGAGATTTGGAAATTTAAACCCAGAGTTACTCACCTACACCTGGAGCACTCTTGAGCAAGTGCTTCCTATATTGCCCTCTAGGAGAGGAGTCTGGCAGGCAGCACACAGAGCTCCATCTGCACTGGGTTTCAGATGCTGCCTTCCTGGACTGCACCAGCAGTGAATCATGACTGGAGTTCAGTGGTACTGGGTGACATGCCAATTTTCCAGTTGGTGTTGGCCACCTAACCAGTTCCAGCACAGAAAGCCACCTAAGAGAGGTGGCAGAAACATCCTTGACCACTTTTCAAGTCTTTCAGAATGGTGCAAATTTGTACACTTTGCTGCGGGCTCTAATTGCTTCAGTGCTGTGACAAGGCAGACTCACCTTCATTTCTTTAGCAGCTAAGTAATCTATATGACTTTTTTATATTACTATTCCCATCACATTCTGGCAGATCTATAGACAGTTAAAATAGAACTTTTTATCACCTCAGGAAAATTTTGGTTTAGGCTAGAAATACGGAGCAGGAGGGGACCTCTAGTGTTATCCACTACCCCACTACTACAGCCAAGCAAGTCATATAATCCTGTTTAGTCTTTATTATATTGGCTGTGTCAGTCAAAGTCTTATGGCCTTGGGCGTAAGCACATCCATGGTATAAGCACTGATACAGACAATTATTCAGAGGAGAATGAACCATTCTGATGAAGCTGTGCCCAAGTACCTGGCAAAGTTTCTGAGCAGTCTGATATTGCAGTCAAGAGGAATATTGCCGGTAATCCCCAAATTTCAGGTGTGTAACAAGATAGCTTGTTAAAAGTAGGCTGAAAATCAGGTTTTTGTATGCAAAATTTAGTATCCATTTGATGTTAACGTAACTTGAGTGTGTCACAGAGTGTCAGAAAGCACAACAGCCTGGGATTAGTTTGTCAGATTCTTCTAAAACCTTTAACAGGGTTAAATCTTAAACAAATCTCAAATCAAACACACGTCTTTTCCATCAAAATTACAGCTCTCCTGTACACACAAAACAGTATGGGATAACAAAAGAAAGTGGAGTAAAACCATAACACTAAGCCCTGACAACTCAGCAGGATTATAGGAAGTGTTTGCTTTAATGTCTGCTTGGCAAATGACTTGCCCTCAAACCAGTTCCTTTCAAACCAGAAACATCCTGTGTTATGCATCTTTGCTGACCACTGCAACAGTACTGGAAGTGAAGGCAGCAGCTGATCAAATAGCTGGGTCCCAAACTACTTAGGAACTCAAAACTGAAAATCACCTGGGGGCTGGTGTAAAAGATGAAATATCTGCCTGCAATAAGCACATTCCCAAAAGCCCTGTCTCAAGGTGACAAATGCAGAGTTCAGTGTAGAGAAGGCCATAAGCCCGAGACCTTGCCCAGTGTCTGCAAGTTGTTTTTAGAGAACAGGCATTCCAAGAACAACTTCATTCAACCTAATAAATGAAAGTATTAACATCAATTTCTGCCTACCATTAATGACTACAGCATCCCACGATATCACCGTTTCAACACTGGGGAGCTGTTCTGAGCCCTGGGGTTTCTAGGGCTTCTCTGCAGTAACATCACTTTTGCCTGTACACTTGAATGGTTGTGTTCTTTGGTTGAAGGACAACAGCAAGGAGGAGACATGGTTGCTACATTACTGGATGCAGAGAGTTTTTGTGCCAACCTCTTGTGGCACTTAGGATTTAAACTTGCTGCTGCACTTCAGTGCAGAAACAATGTCAGGAGCCATGCGCAGCCATCCCATTTCATATTAAGCTGGTGCTGTCTCAAAAGGTTTAGCATTGTTTTACATTGGACTCTTGAGTATGATTCCCATTTTGGCATAATTATCCCTAGTAGCACAAGCTAAGAGTATAAATCCCAGTCTTTCTGTGTCCCCAAGTAAACTCGATGCCTTCCCTTCGAGATGAATTACAGGCAAAGAAGATCTCATTAACACAAAAGAGGAAGAGAACAAGCAGTAAAACATGGTAAACGTATGTTTGCTACCTCAGGAACTGCAGAGACAGAGACCCTACCTGAAATAAAGGAACCCATTTCCAATACATGAACCAGCTGTGCACTGAAATGAGCCAAGAAAAGATGACTTTTACTGCCATATATAAGTACGTACGTGTCCTACTTTTTCTGAACATGAAATAAATAACCTTGATATAAAAGGGGCAATACAAATATTGTAAATTCTATTTCCTGTTCTCCACCCTTCCAGAAGAATTGTAAGACTTGTTCATAAGTAAAGGTACTTGTACATATCCATGTCTGCTAAGCGAAACACATAATCATTAGAACTAGTCTAATTTCAGTAAAAAGAATATTCCGCCAGTCACAAATTTATTCCTTATGATTTACAGCTCCATGGTTTTATCTTCAAGTGAAATATTTAATTTCTTCTTATACTGAAGCATCAAAACCACATAATTAATATGTAGTCAGGCTAATACTTACACGCTATAAATCAGAAGCATTATATAAACAAAAGTGTCGTCTTGAACAAGATTGGGAATGCACAAAACTACTTATTTCCCACTTTTATAATGATGCAGTGACTCAGAGCAGATAGAAAATGATTAGTTTTCCTTCCAAAGTAGGAAATATTGCTTCCATCTGTAAAGTATAATATTGTGATGTCATAAAGTTTTCCTAAACACTGAATTTGCCCTTATTCCCTCTCAATCATTTTAAAAGAACTGCTCTCTCTTATAGAGCTTGGATTTAAATCACAATAACACACCAAGAAGATGAATGACAGTGCTGTTGGATATGGCTAAAATTGGATCCTTCAGCACAGGTGAATGATGAGACAGCGCTTCCCTTCTTGATATATTTTCTTCTTCTATTAGTTTCCTTCCATAGCTGGGATTTCAGTCTGAATTTTAATGTATGCGGTTGCTGCTAATCTTAGTGTCTTATTTTCTTCCAGCGCCCTCTTATTGTATAGACAATTCATTCTCCAAAGCAGTAATACACTGAGGCTTGTGACTGCCCCAGAGATAAGGCAATTCAGAATAAAGTTAGAGCTGGCTCTGAAGTATGGTGCATACAACAGGTCAGGTTCTTCACAGACAATGCCTTGCCATAAAAAAATGCACACATTTGGATCAACTCGCATTCATTTACTCAGATGGTTTCCATTTCAGACACTATCGTCTCTATTAAGTCACCAGGGAAACATGATGGGTATATCCAAATTCATAGCTTCAGATTTTATTGAAAGGGCAAATTGCAGAGTATTTCCTGGTTTACAGAATCTGCCACAGATGCATATACTCCAAATTGCAATCAATGCGAGTACTTAAGTGTAAGCACTCAGATAATACCCCCCAAAGCTGGCTGCTCCTGTGAAACCTTTCAGAAAAAGAAATTGGTTAACTCTTTCTCTAGGAAGCAATTTTTCTGATGTGATTTCCACGGTGTTCTTGTTTCAGATTTCTACCTAAAAGCCCGATGAGCTTGCACAGCTCCTATTCCTGCTTAATTCTGGATAAGTGGAGATGTAACATTTATTACAGAAAGGTTAATGACGTACTTGCATGATCTAAGCTTGGGTGTGAAAGTTGGGGTAGAGGTCTGAGAGGATTCTTCATCAAAATGAAGCCACTCAGGCTCTGTGAACTAACCTGGGAAATACTTAGTACATGAGCTGAACCCTGCTCTTCACTCCTATTGTCAGCATAATGGAGCAAGATCCCAAGGAAAGAGATGGGGGATCTGAATCAGGGCAACAGGCAGCTTTGTTCTATATGCAATAATTACTTCAACTGTTTGGGCACATGAAGAGTTAATCCGGTGGCATTTCTTAAATACTCACTTTCTCATTGAGAAGTATAAGTCCAAGCAGCGGTCTTGACACAGACCATTGATTTCTGCAGTCTTCAAAAATGATGGTGTTCATTAGGATGGACATCATCTGAAAGAAAACACGCACACTTTACATGAATATGGATACTGTTGTTACACTGTGTGATGTGATCAGAAGGAAAAATTAATGGAACGTTTATGAACCATACTGAAATCACTGAGATTTCATGTATGAGCATGGTTTTATAAAAGTTACTCTTCCAAACAAATCTTTCCATAACCAAATCCACCAGGTAAAGAAAGTTAAAGGCAACTCGTATCAAAGCTCAGCTCCAAAGTTGAAGTTTAAACAAATATGAATTGAAGTTTAGAGCTCAATTAATTTAAGGTACAGGCTTTGACTTTACCACAGGGATTTGCCTCTCTGTCACACTACTTCTAGGAGAGCAATACGTGTGCAACCAGTAATCTGTATTAATTTCAGATTAATCCCTAGTTGGTCTTCAAGATTCCGGTTTTCTCACAACACATCCACCTTTCTTTGTGTGTGACACTGCAAGGAATTTGAAGGGAACACTCTCCATTTTGATGAAGGCAGTCATGATTACAGCAAGAAGTCTATAAATCTACACCATTTCTGTCACAGTTACAAATCCAGTCTCTGATTTTAGACATTTTACTTTACTTCTGTGACTGACTTTACAGAGCTCTATAGAAGGGATAAAGCCACTCCAACTTTATAAAGCACTGAGATTTATCATCTAATACAATTAAGTTCTATTGGCACCCAAAGAGAAGCTATATAATTCACTTTGCTCTTTGGCTGGCATGTCACCAGAGCCTTCAGCTAATGCCACAAGGAGTATGCTCCCTCTGAGGCCTCTACACCTCCGGTGTGTGTAAGCTAGGAAGGGCAGGACTTTATTTAAGGGATTGGCATAACTTTCAGACAAAGAAATCACAAAATAACTACAGAATCCATTTAAAGATAAAATGCTCTAAGATATCCTTGAGATACATTAGTCCAAAATGCCAAAGGCCGCAACATATATGAACCTAAAATCATTACTCAGAGATTAAACAGAGTGAAAATTTGTAAAGTGTCACCAGTAAATAGTTTGACTCACATTTATAAAATATCTGCACCCTAAAACCAAACATAGAGGAAGTAGAAAATCATTAAATCCTTTCTTCTAGGCCAATGAGTAGCTATGAGCAGGGTCTCCAGAGAGCTGCCACACTGCAAACTAGCCTGTAATAACTGACCAAGGCGAAGTCAAACAGCATGTTTCACTAAATGAAAAAGATGAATCCTAGCACTACAAATCACCTGGAACAGAGATACCCACAAATCATTTGAGCTTTCAGGTTAGGAACATGTGGTCTGGCGTGGGAACAGCCAATTCTTCACCTGACTTCACAGTTTATAGATCAGACAAACTATTTTCCATTACTCACAGGACAAAACCAATTCTGTACGGCCTTGGAACCAATGCAAACATCTCAAAAACCTCTGCAGGAGCAGTAACAGGGGCTCGATTACCGAACATGAAGAATAATTTAAATTTCCTATAATTTAAATATTGCCAGGTTTTAATTTCCGTAGCTTGTAACAAAGCTGGCTATTAGGACAGAAGCATTATTAAAAGTAATTCAACAAACTCACTCGAGCTGTGATTTAGTCAGAGCACCACGTCTGACATAACCATATTTCTTAGAGGAAGTGCTGTGAGAGACTTTCAGAGTGATGCTTCATTGAAAAAGGGCATGCTCAGGGACAAGCTCACAACTGATCCACAGGGAAAGTTTCACCTCTTCAAACTCCAGCTTTATCAAACAACCCCTGAGGGTGGATGGGGCTTGGAGCAAGCTGCTCTAGTGGAAGGTTGGAACTGGGTGAGCTTTAAGGTACCTTTTGACCCAGACCAGGCTGGGATTCTACAATTCTAGGATATATGTGCATTTTTGTTGCTCTCCCAAGTTGTTCAGGTCATGAAGGAACTGCAACTCTTTTTAGTTTCTGCAGAAGGCTCTGAAATAATGTGTCACCTGTTTGCTGATGCACAGTTACATGAATTTGTATTTATGATGGCAACATGTACAGAAATGATAACCATGATTTTCTTAAGAGGAGATCTTGCCCAGTGATATGTACAAACAAGGAGATGGATGCACTGCTGCCCCAGAGCAACCCTGCTTGCTCCCAGGCCACCAGCTGGATCCAGGTACATGAGCAAGCCTGCATTTTTTCTTTCATTTCTTTTGAGAACTGCAGAGCGTTTCCCAGATGTTAGTTAGCTTCAAAGTGTGCACTGAGATACATCAGCTTTGCCACTGCATTTTATAGAAGGGCTGACTGAAGACAAAGTTTGTCTGCAAAGCCACTGAAACAGAGGCTGAGCTTGGGGCACCCCTCAGCTTCCCCAGCACCTTCCAGCCATCACCCAACCTTGCTGTTGCTAGAGACCTGCAGTCCCTTGTAGCAGGTTCCCCCAGAAGCTGGTTCAGGTGGCTTAAACGTATTTAGCATGCAGGTGTGAGAGGGAAACTCATGCTATGGGACACCCTCCTTGCTCCACCTTTCCTAGAAGTCTCACCATCTAATTGGAGATCGCAAACCAACCCAATGGCAACACAAAGCACAGAGCCCAGAAGTGGAACTGATCACAAATATGCGGTTTTGGTTTCTGGGTGGAAAATACCTTATTCTGCTACACTTTACTTCAGGAAGATGACTTCTCAGATCCTGCCAAAGCCCCACTGCAGCGCAGCAGCCGGGACAGCTGCCTGGGGCAGGCTCAGTCCTCACGCTGATGCAGGCAGAAAACAAGGTCTCAAGGGGGAAAAAAGAGACATCAAAAAGGAAGGGATGGCAGAACAGATAATCTATTTTCTTCTTAGTTCAAAACAGCAACCTTGCCTCTGTTCTCTTGCCTTAAACATAGAACATCACTTTATCTGGTTCAATAATGTTTCTCCTGACACATTTGTTCTTTACAAAAGGAACTATTGACAGAACAGGCAAGAATAAAGAACCGTTCTTCCAATAAATTAATTCTTTAGAGCTTCTCCTCCTTCAGAACCTCTTTCTTTCTTGGGTGGAGGAGGAAAATGTTGGTCAAGATAACCCTCATTACGAAAACTTTTTTCTAAAGGAAGCTGGAAAAGAAGCTGCCTTTCCATCAAGAAGGCTTTTTTTGCTGCTCCATGTTATCACTAGAGAGCACTTGCATCATTGCAGGTCCCATAACTCATTTCTTTCTCCCACTTGTTGGGATGAAAATTTTATTCTGCTGCAACTAATCACACGTTAACATAAAGAACATGATATTAACACCAAAGACAGCAGTGTGTATTCCTTTACAGAGGATTCAGAATGGTCAGGAACATGCACAGCTTTTAACCAAGCACTTGGCTGGTGATAACACTCATTTGTTCACTGCGATCTGAAAAAGATTCAGATTTTTTTTGTTGTTTAGCATATGAAATTCGGTAGGATTTTATAGCTCCGGCTCCAGACAGTTCACTCTTAATTTAGGAGCTGTGATTACTAATTTAAATGTCCTTTGGAATTCTCAGTTCTTTCAGCATCAAATTCTTCCTATATCAATAAATGGATTGTCATTTACTAATAATACCAGGAAGATTTAGCTGCTCCAAGATTATTAAACACCTTAAATTTTAATCTGTTGTTTTAAAATATTTATTTTACCAGAAAGCCTAACTTTCACATTGATTTTTTTTCAAGTTCAAAGCTGAAATTTCCAGATGAAGTAAGAAAACTAAAGCCAAGCCTTTACCATGGGAAGTGAGAACCAGCCCGTAATTCCTGAACTAAAAATATTCAACTGTCAGAAACAGCAAATCAGTTGAGATTTGCAATATGTAAGAGATTAAGAATCACTTGGCTTGTCCCCCTGCATTAAGAAATTACATGAGACCAACACAGAGCTTTAAACAAGTTGTGGAGCAGCACCGAGTAATGGGCCCAGCTACATTACAGCACCTTTCCTTTTGGAGACCCTTCTCAGCCTTCTCAGCCACCCTCAGACCAAGCCCGTACAGGCTAGATTCCTCCAGATTCCTGTTCACAGAATCCAGCATTTCACCCTATTTATACGTACTTCCACTATACATAATTAAAAATTAGTAACTAAAATGCCACAATTCAACAGCTGAAGCTCAAAACTGTGAGGGACCCAATCTCAGATGCCCATTTGCAATTGGGTCTGGCCTTTTTGTTTCCTTTAATGAAAAATTAGGGTATAAATGGCTGAAAAAACCCCAATCCTGGTGTCAGGACAAGATATGTGGGTGAGACACTGCATACCATGGGCTAACATATGCCTGAAGCTGACGGACTGAAATATGATTTAGGTGTATCTTTTACAGGGTATTCCTATCAGTTATATGCTATGTCCTGCTGGGAGAGGCTTTTCTCCTGATGTTTTGAAGGGATGGAAAAAGGATGGCTCTGCATTTAAAAAAGGAACAGTTACAGGTAGCGGGGAGCTTGACATTTCCTTCTATATGTCTTCAGAACTGGCAAAAGGGCTGAGTATGGCAGAGTCACCTGAAATAGGTCCAAATCATGAGCCAGCAGAAAGAACAGTAAAATAAGATTGTACTAATTTATATCAAACCCAATTTTATATCTGAAAGAGAAACGGGAACATACTCATACGACACATATAGGATGATGGCTTAATTCTAAAGGCAAGCACCTCAATGTGCCTGCTATATTCACTACACCTGGTCTACTGCAATGTTCTATTTTTTCCTTGTTAAACTGCCGTATGCTAACAGCACAAGAACATAGACTTAGTAGTGCAAAGTGGACTTTTCAAAGCAAAGGCTTACCCTCACCCTTTCCTACCTTTAGCCAGTTGTGACATACCTTTCAAGCAGCCAGCAGGATCAGAAAGCACATGCTTGTGCTACAAGAGGGAATAACCGCAGCACAGCTGGGACATGGGCAGCAGCTATATCTGCACATGAGGTGGTCATAGTGAGACTCTGGCCTGCACTAGCATGTTTCAGACAGGAATTTTAGTATCTTCCCTCTCATTTGATAGCATATTCTAATATGACAAATGTATTTTCAAATTA